GGAAAGAGTATTCACTGGACAGGAAGGGAATATGCTTAGCACCTTAACTACAGAAAAGGAGTTTTCTCCAGCAAGATCCTTCCTACATAGTTTCTGAGTCACACAAGACAGTACTGAACTGTGGATGACAGGTACCATCAGCATCCCTATCTTTAGGGACAAACCAAAGCCTCAGATGCAAATCCAAGCCTCACCTCACCAAACTATCAGCCTTTCAACCAAAAAAACGATCTACTATGTTGCTCCTCCACCTTTGCTTCCCTTTGTTGTTGCTTTCAAAAGTTTTGACAGCATTCCCAACCAACCTCTCACATAGTCTCAGGCTTGACTTTTCTTGCATCTACACTGCTCCCTGCTCTTTACCGGTACATACTACCATAAAGCATTCACCCTGCGTAGCAACCCTTCCTACCAGGAGCAGCAGAGCAGTCAGTGAGCTGAGGCTTGGCACCACACTCCTTGGGACTCCTATTTAATTTTTACCTCCCCTCTCCAAGTTCCTGAATTGATGCCAAAGGGAATGTTCATTTTGGCAGTCAAGTCTCCCAGAAGAAAAGTTATAGCCAAAGTGCTGGGGGTGGGACCAAGCTGGCCTATTAATAGGCTAATTATAATATGAATTTGGGTAACTACTCCCAAATATGCTTACCCTCCTAGACCTAGGGCCCTCAGGGGTGGAGTGGAATACCTAACTCAGCGCTTTCAACTTCTTTACCGCATTTGGAGCCAGGGAGGGTGGAAAATCCTGTCTGTACCCTGCCTTGCAAAAACATCATTTGCCAGACGGGTGGCTGAGCTATTGTTTTCTTCCCTTCTCCCCCAGAAAGTATGTTGCCTTCTGCCTCATCAGAAAAGACCTAGAATTGGAAAGCTTCCATCTTGGATTAGAAAGGTTGATATCAACATTTTTCCTGTGGAAAAAAACCCAGAGCAGCAGTACAGAACAAGATAAGATGTCTCAAGACCCTTCTCACCACCAGCTTCTCTGGACCACACTGGGCTGCTGAGCAAGACAGACTCCATGGATCGCCAGTGAGCAAAACTTTTAAGATATTTGAGAGCATGAAGAGACAAAAGGTTTTGATTTCAGGAGACAGTCAGACTGCTATACCTGTTAAAGCATGCTTCTTACTTACAGGTGGCAGCTCAGAACTGCTCCAAGACCCCTTGAAAAGTGCTGGGATGAGGCAAGCATGCATGGTAGCAGAGAGCCCAAAGGCAGCAAAAAGTGGTATATGCCTACCCCATCGTAGTTAGAACCACCTCTCCAGCACACCCACAAGGCTGCTTTTCCAGTCTTCCTGAAATCCAAACTGTCCTTTTGTTTCTCCATATTTTCTCATCAACAGACCTCCCATTCCAACCCCATGTCTCATCCAGAGAGTCAGCCAGAGGCAGAATGCAGCCCCTTGTGACCCTGACTGACATTTCTCCAAGCATGTCCAGATCTTCATGGAAACTTTGCAAAATTATGCTGCAAAGATGTTCAAAAGTTCAAATATTTTTCATGCTTCACAAACATCCCACAATCCTAAGCCTTTAGAAGCTGAAGGATACACCAGCAACATTCACCTCTTACACAGTTTGTCACATCAGAGCCACACAGTCTACCAAGATCAGAAGCTTTTACTATTTACATGCAAGTAACACACTGTTGCTTGTAGCTAGAGTAGAAGAGAGAACAAACTCTACTTTAGCTCGGAGACACCTGGCCACTGATCAAGCCTACACAGTTTTACCTAAGCATTAGTAAAGATGGAAAGACACTGGCTTCAAAATACGTGTCAATAAACATTACACTCATCTGCCAGAAACTGAGGAAAAAGCAACACTAGTTTACTATTATCAGACACGCTTGATGACACTCTCCTGTAACACAAGACACTGAAGCATCTACATGCTGCATGGCTTGGATTCAACACATCACACTAAACTGCAATCAGGTTGCCAACAAAGGAGAAGTTACTAGTTTTTATACATCTCAGATTTCACCCTAGGTTTTACAAGTCTTTGTTGCCCTAGCATCACCCAAGACATTTCAAAACCTTGCTGCAAAGAGAAAATTGAGAGAATGCTGTTTTTAACATATGTGCTATTAAACATTTAGGCCTTGATTCTTGAGCAAATCTTTTGCCTCCAATAGCAAGCTAGACATGCAGACTTTGGCAGGATTACGATCTCCATTCCTCTGAACACAAACCCAAAATCTACCACAAAGCACGCAGCAAACACTTTCAAATCAAACCTGCACACTGTGTCTATATATATAGGTATACACAGACAGGTACTGAAGTTTCTCTGCAGAATTCACTTATGAGAGAACTGCCTCATCACACCTCAAGGCACAAAGCTGTTGCACAGGGGAACTCTTTGGTGGTCATCTTTCCACCTCCCTAGCCTTAAAGGCTATGCTGGATCACTTGAAACAGAGGAATTAAGTTTTTAAAAAACTGCTTTCACAAGAAAACCAACAGAGTTCATTTTTTGAAACCCTGATAGTGACCTTTTATTAAGTCAATGGGAACATTTCCATTCCAGAATAGGGGCTCTCCTTCACGTTTTACAGAGAAGGAAAATACAGCAGAGACCAGACTGAGTTCACCCAAAAGACCTCAAGTTCTTCCATTAAGGCAGAAACAACATCCAAGAGTCAACTCCCAGACTTGAGCTTCAACGACTAAATCTGCTTCAAAGCAATTCCATTGCTAAGCTAATGGCTGCAGGAGACTGTTCCTAGATCCACTTAAACCAGCAGATGCTAATCTCTTCATCTGCCAGAGATATGCATGCCACAGGGGTCTGGACAGGATAAGCAGAACAGATGTTTAAGTGCACATACAGTCTGGGGAATCATCTTCAGAGCTCAGCTGCTAGCTTCACAGGACACAGGAACTAAGAGATTTCTGGAGAGCTTTGGAGGACACAGGAACTAAGGAGATTGAGACACTGTCCTTTCTTGTATCTTTGCTGAGGGAAGCATTAACACCAGCAGGAAGGTGGAAGCAGGCATGCATGTGTCACACCTATGGATACTGCACAGTTCCCAAACACATCTGGCCCAACAAACTGATCCATACCTAATGGCAAAAAGGGCAGCATGCTACAAAACCAAACCAGGAGCAGTGTAGTACTGGCAAAAAAAGAGCACCTACACATGCCCCAGTACTCATTAATAGTATTATTTCTAAATGCCTGAACAGCTGGGATACTTTGACTGCATCAAAGCAACTGTTTCAGAAGGACTAAATACTATTTCCCTCAAGCCAATGCAAAATTGCAAAACACTGCTGATCTCAGAAACAAAGAAGGAATCCCTAGTCACTGGAAGCAGCCTCCAGATCCTATGGTGCAGCTATCAGGCAAAGCCCTTCAAGGTAGCCCTAGCATGTCACAGCAACAGGCTTCAGAGCATGAACACCTGAACACAAGTGTTTCAACTGGCCACAAAAGGCACACACAAGACTCAAACAACTGCTCAACCCAACATGAGGGATGCTTAGCCAGATCCCTTGCATGAGTCTTGGCTGCAAAGGGCAACAAAGGCAAACGGACATTTCCAACAGCATATTAGGTTGTTGAATGCTTTCTCACACAGGGCCACTTACTTCCTTCAGCCCCTGCCACATGGATGATCACATCAGGCTTAGCCCGATGACCATCCCAAAGTAGTGATATCAGCTCTTTTCATTTACAGAAATGCACAGGACTACTCTGAAGCAGGGACAGCCTCTCCCACACTCACAGAGTTTGGTGACTCTGGAGGGACTCTAGGATTCTTCTTCTGGGGGAAGATTCCAGCAATCAGTGATATCACATATTCAAAAGCAGTTGATGCATCATGCCACAGCATAGCCACATTCATATACACTGCTGAACTTCAAGGGCTTGTACCTACCTCAGGTGTCCCAAGCTGTAGTATCGTGACTCTCCATCTGTTGACCGAACTACCTTGACAGTGAACATGGGCTGCAGCTGCCGCAGCTCTAGCAGCACAATGGCCAAGTAGTGAATGAAGAGGAGAGCATCCACCAGAGACACTGCATACTGCACTATTCCTTGGTAGTTGGTGTCCTTCGAGTCCAAGATGCGAACGCCATAAAAGAGCCAGTAGGAAAACACAAAGAGGAATATAAGGACCAACAGAAGGGCCCGAAACACAAACACCCTTGGTATATCTGCCTTGGGTTGGCGGAAAAAAAGAGCCCAGGTCCCAATCAGAAGAATGAGGAGTTTAAATGCCACAGAGATGAACAGTCCCTCACAGACAGTACCACATGGCTCCAGATCATCTCGCCACAGGATCTGGGGCAACAGAATGAAGGCGATGGGGGTAAGGAAGACCAGGAGTCCGAGAACAGCTGCCACTGTTAAGCCCAGGTAACGTTTGCAGTCCAGCCCAACGCTGTCCTCCAGATCCTTACTGATACGGGCAATGTCCTCCTGGGAAATACTGTGCTCAGAGGTGCCTGTGATTGCTGTTGTGGTCTCACCCCAGTTGTCATCCTGAAGGAGGAAGAGATAAACAAAAATAACACTGAAACAATCAGGTTGTTATTTCCACATGTTCTATTTTTCTTGCCTGGAAAGATGACTACAATAGCCGTAAGAATGATTACATAGCAAAAGCAACACCTTCAATATATTGAATAACCAATCCTGACAATTAGCAAAGGTTTGGGAACAACAACAACTTGTCCAAACCGGTGACCATAACCATTAGGTGTTAAAAACCCTTAACTGTAGAGCAGGTAGCTCAGCTTGCTGTGCCACTCACTGTACCCCAGAGGCTCTTCTTCCAGCACACTTAATGAGTAACATGACATAAGTCTTGGAAACTGTAGTAATCACCAGTTCCCATGTCCAGGGCAAAGACTAGCATTCTTCCAACCCACAAATTCTGCAGTGCAAGTGCACCACAAAAGCACCTGGAAGGGAAATTTTCATTTCAGTGTTTCAAGACAGTTGTTGCTGTTACACAATCAAAAACATGTTCACACATTATTTTTCCATCCGTAACAGAAGCAACCACACCTCCAGCAAGTTCCTCCACTTCATTTTCTCTTATTCTCCTCTACAGTAGCACTGCCCTCAATAGCTGACAATCTAATAAAAGCTTAGTTAAACCAACAAATTACAGGTGGTCAGAGAGGATATTTTCAGCTATAAGGCTTTTAAGTTCAGAGGATCCTAGACTGCCAAGTAGCTCTGGTGCTAGAATCCAGGACATTGTCAGAAGCCATTCATCCACAAAGCAGCTTACATGAAATACAGTCACCATATAGGTAAGCTTCAGATTACATTTTCTGAAAGTCTCATTTCTTCCCCAGCTAACATCAGAGAACTTCTGCAAGCTGGTTCTCCCATCCCACGATGCCTCCAACTGCTCCTTCCTGGTGCTGGCACAGCCAAAGAGTCACACTGACATGTATGGATTTGACTCACAGCTGCTGCTGGAGTGACTCATGCACATGAAAACTTCTGATGCTTCCCACAAACACACACCAAAGAGTGGCAATGCCTGTACTTTGTTGCTTGGCACCTGACAGCTTAGTAGCTGCAATGCTCATTCAGAAGCACGTTTTGCTCTTCTTCCTACTTTCCCAAGCATATCCTCCTGCAGCCTGTGTCATTAACAAGATTTACACCTTCTCCCAGAGTTCTGCAGCTACCCATGCTGACCAAAGCATTCTGTTTTAAAGAAGCAGGCAGCATTTTAAACCTTCACTCAGTTTTTAAGAGTTAGAGGAAAGTCTTCAAGAGTCTTTGGGAAAGGAGTAGACTAAGGCAGCATGACTACTTTGAACAACTCCAGGGATTTAACTTCTAATGCACACCCAGACATGAATACCTCCCATGCCTACAGCAGTAGGGTTTTGAGAAAACCAATTAATATGAGGGTTTTTTTGAGTCCTCACCAACGCAGAGGCCCTAGAAGAGAGATCTGCATTGTAGTATGTCCTGAAAGGCAGCATATTCCTATCACAATTCTTGCTTTACTACTGTCTCCAGTAAAACAATCTAAGCATTTCAACTATTTTATGTTTATGCACTAAATAGTTCTGCATAGTTTCCTAGACTTGATAAGCTGTGAAATTGTGCAGAAGAGGGAATGGATGGAAACACCAGTACAGTTTAAGACTACAGATGACAGGCAATCTTAGTCACAGTCTACCCCTTATAATTCTTCCCGCTTTAAGAGGCACAAGCAAAAAAATGTGCAATTATATGGAAACCACAGACGCATGAAATGGTTTGGGTTCGAAGAGACCTTAAAGACTGTATAGTTTCAACACCTCTGCCATGGGCAGGGCAGGGACCCCTTCCACTAGACCAGGTTGCTCAAAGTCCCATCCAGCCTGGCCTTGAACACTTCCAGGGATGTGGCATCCCCAACTTCTCTGGACAACCTGTTCCAGTGCCTCACCACCCTCACAATGAATAATTTCTTCCTTGTATCGAAACTACACCTACATTCAGTTTAAACCAATTACCCCTTGTCCCATCACTACATACCCTTGTAAAAAAGTCCACCTCTGGCTCACCTGTATGCTCCCTTCAGGTACTGAAAGACCACAATAAGGTCACACCAGAGCCTTCTCTTCTCCAGGCTGAAAAACCTCAGCTCTCTCAGCCTTTCCTCATAGGAGAGGAAATGAGTCTAAACTTCTACTGGTACATGGTTGTTTGACCTAACTCAGGGCACTCTACTCCCTAGGAAGAAAGCCTGGCTCATGCACCAGCTTATTTTGCTTTGGCTTTAATTGAGGTCTGCATGAAAACAAGGGCTTAAGAACTCACCAGTGCCTTTAGAACTACTTGAAGCAATAGCTGGGACTCATGAAAATAAGCATCTGATTAGAAAATACCAAATGGTAGTATATGAAGTGAGCACATCAGTAGATACATGAATACTGCAGTGCTACAAATACCAGTAGGGTGGAAACTGGATATCAATATTGTTTTCTTGAAAAGGCAGAGGTGGAGTCCCACCGCCAAGGATTAACACACCCGAATCCACCCCAGGAGGGACTGAAACATCCTGTATTCTTTGTCTTGCAGCATCAGCCATTCTTTGGAAATGAATATGCACCTTCACATTACCTGCTAGAGCAGAGGAATACTGGATCCATCCTAGGTACAATCTAAATCCAGCATTATTCCAGTGTTGATCTAATAGCTTTCTCCAAGTTCACCCTTCTTCACAGCTATTTCATCCACCCCAGGAGGGACTGAAACATCCTGTATTCTTTGTCTTGCAGCATCAGCCATTCTTTGGAAATGAATATGCACCTTCACATTACCTGCTAGAGCAGAGGAATACTGGATCCATCCTAGGTACAATCTAAATCCAGCATTATTCCAGTGTTGATCTAATAGCTTTCTCCAAGTTCACCCTTCTTCACAGCTATTTCACACTAGCATCTCTTGA